GATTTTTCGTTCAAACGTACCTAATAGGTTCTTATAGCTTTTCGACAGTGTACATGTCTCTGATCCATATAGAAGGACCGGTTTTATCAGGGTTTTGTATATATAATGCGCATACAAAAAGACGTCCCTCATTTAAATATTGAGTGTACTAGTAATTCTTATGTTATTTATATATTTATTCTTATTTATATTTAGGTTAGAGACATCTTTAGATGGTCCGATTTCCCCTCAAGGACCTCCATCACCAGCAAGTCCCATTTCTCCATCTCAACCACCACCTGCAGTTACATCGTCTCATTCGCAACCTCCGATGCCTGTTTTTCTAACTGAAGACAAAGTTCCTAAAGAGATTCCAGCTGAATCCAATCCTTCACCAAAAGTTCGCGAAACCAACATCGAGCTGTTCAATAATAACATACCAAAAAATTGTACAATCGTTCAAGCAGGACACTGTAAGCCTTACCATGAAGAAACCAAACCATTTGAAATGTCAGACTTTTATAAATACTCTACGAAGTTCAAAAAATCGCCAATTAAATCGGATGTAGAAGGAAATAAGCCTAAATTATCTGTTAGTGGAACAAGCCAAACATGTTTAAGTGACAAGTTTGAGGAACTTCCTAAAAACATGTCTACATCTAACTATCAAAATATAAATAATAGGTAAGCATTATTGTACAATCGACAAAAATTATTAATTGCGTCATTCAACACGGTATTCGTTCTAGGTATTTTTTAAATTGCGTTTAGACAGTTCTTACTATTAACCATCTCTCTCTCCCCTTGACCTACCAGAGTTTTCATTTGTTCTAGTTGTCCTTTTGGTCTTCATCCTTTTACCTTTCTTTCTACTACCAACAGTTTTATAGTCCCCGTTCTTCCGACTATGTGGGAAAGTTCTTTTTCAAGGTACTTTATATTCGTGTTTATCAACAAACACTAATTGTTTGCTTTTTTCCATACTGTCCTTGATCGTCTTGGGTCTCATATCAAAAATTATGATACACTAGACATATTGGTTCTTTCTGTGTTCTGTCCAGTACATGCATATATAATTCTTCTGTAGACCCAAATTTCGAATACTGTCCACATATTACCCATGCAGTCATAGCATTTGATCGTCTAGACTTCCACGATCAACAATATTTGTTACGGAATGTCGTAACATTTTCTAATCGAAAGTCTGACGTATCCAGGTCTGATAATCATTTTATCTAAATTTGTTTTTCAAGGCACCTTTTAATCGCGTATAAACACTTATCGTTGCTATTTCCCATACTGTCGTAGTATTTGATCGTTTTTGGCTGTCATATCGAAAATTGACATACCAGTACATGCTCAAATGTATAGGTATGCGTATTAAGTCACAAGCAAAAGTATATACTATTTTTGCATATCGCCCAGATATTATGTCCTTTCTTTTAGTAATTTCTACGAATGTACTAAAAGCATGACATGATGAACCATATTCGTATAAAAATTAATGAGGTCATCGTTAAGCCAATCTAAACCTGATATAAGTTTGACAAAAGGCCTTGACATGTAATTTTTAAGTTACATTTTCTACTGAGGACTTCGTTGGAATCACCCTTAGGGGCTCTGCTCACCATTTTAAGTTGATCATCGGACAAAGGTGGTAGTTCTACTTCTTTCCGTTTCCGGTAATGGTATTAAAGCTTTAATCTTCTCAATTTATTTTGGGTTTTATTGGAAAGTAATTCGATATGTAGATCTTTGTTTTCATGTTGTTGAGAACAACCCATGAGCTTGTTACCCCGCAGCTGCGAGTTGTTGGTGATCACTGGTGATCGATATGCAGATCTTCGTTAATTTTTTTCATGTTGGGAAAAACTCTTGGCTATCATCCTGTGCCATGCATCCCATGGATACGATGGTGTGCGTGTGTCGCGCTTCCATCTTGGCAGCATGGGTAATAGTAACGACACGTGTCTAAATGCAATTAAAACTACCTCGAAAACACTCTGATAATTATAAAAGAAATTAGAACTGGATACCTCAAAATTTGAATTGTAAAATAAACATTCCTCAACAAATGAACCGTAGCGATTGTGGAATGTTTGCCTAACTTTTGCAGTACTCTTTCTATTTACATATTTTACGTTCCTTTATTTTTGTTGGTGATCAATTATCGAATATAGATAAAATTATAATTGAAGAAATAGTTAATTTTAAAAAATTTCCATAATGCCAATAATTCTAGCCAATTTCAAAACACAAAAAAATAAGTATCCAATTATTTAAAATCTTACGTATTAGTTTAAATTAGTGTTGTGTTAATCGTTCATTTTACAAGGACCGAATAAACCAGTGACCGACTCTGAAAACGATCGAATCATTTCATTCGTTCGTTCGATTCAATACTTTTCGTTGCCGTTTAAAACAAATAACAAGTAATCCATTGATTAAGCTGAATTGACTGAAAACCTGTAGTATTGCTTACCGTATTTCATATATGGACCCCGTTATGCAACAAGGAACCAACTGGCATTAACTTAGTTTTGAGAAAATAAGAAAAAATGATTTATTTATTTGAGGAAATCATTTGGATATAAAAATAATAAAAAACGACTCAAAGTAAACACGTTTATTATAACTTATGTATATTAATACTATAATCAAATAAACAACTAAAAAATTAACCCCTAAGTAAGAAAACAATCACGTGGTTCTTTGTTGTTAAATATAACATTAACAATCCGCATCTGGTTCGAAATTTGGATTTCCGCAAAGTCTATATCCTCGGTTATAGTATTATCTGCTATAAGATTTGTATAGAAATCGTGGTAACTTAAGGGTATTACGTGAAGATAACTTTGTATATCTTTAAGGTTTGCTTTCGAAACTGGCTTTCCTTTAGGCCACAATGGTTCCAAATACGTGGCAAACTGTGACCCAGTTGAAGGTTCTCTTCCTGTTTCCTTTTTTATGCTTATTTCTGTATAATCGTCAGTGTCTTTATAAATCGTTTTAAAAAATATACTGTAAGACTTATCTTTACACAATTTAATTTCTTTTGTTTGTAAATAACTTATCGTTTTTTTTTCTGTTGGTGATTTGTTTTTCTAATTTTGCGGTACTCAAAAATCTTGTGTTATAATATTTTCATTAATGGGTCGTTTTTGTCTACAAGTTTTTATTATATTGCTATATTCCCCAGGTGAAAATATATTATGTTGCCTTTTCAGGGCACATTCCACATCTCCGAAATCACTTTGGTTCAGTCAAGGTTCATTTGTTTTCTTCTTAATTCAGCTTTTTCCAAATGCAGTTCCTGTTGTCTATCAATATCCTCTTTTTCATCATCTTTAATACTCTGTATCTTAATTTTAAAGGCATCACATTTCTTGCAGGTGTCTTTTTTGGCTTTTTTAGTCGCAAGTTAAAATCATTAAAAAAACTCCTTTAAAAGTTGAAAAACTGGCAGGATTTTCACTTTTTGGTTTGTAAAGATTATATATTATTGATAAAGAAGTTCCTCCTTGCAAAAATTCTTGATCCATTTTACGTGCTCTGCAATAATGAGATACATACCGTGGAAACTGGTTTATAAGGTTAACTAGAATCTAACTTCTTTCCTCTGCTGACATTTTGTTGTGCCCACGGCGGACTCCTCGCTTATCAAGTGTAGTCAAAGTTCTTACTTTTTGAAGAGCAGTATTTATGCGTTTAGTTGACACTTGCAATGTATTGGTATACATATTTCTACAAACTACTACTTTATTTATAAAGTAATTTCTTGAGAATTGTTGTGCTGCAGGATTTGTGGCCTGCAAATGTTTTCTCTGTGCAGGATGTTCTCTAACGGATGTTGATATAAATGTAGTTTGTAGATTATAATCAGCTAAGTGCCAATACTGTTGAAGGGTTTGAGCAGAAATTTTTTCATGGCATTTAGCGGCACATGAACACGTATCTCTTGATTTTACTAGTTTTCCTCTTAATGAGTAATATTCCATATTGCTGTTCGTTTTTATTTTTCTTTCTTATCTGTCTTGTTGTGCAAATTTTCTTTTTCTTCCTTTTCTTGGACGACCCGAGAAAGATATTTCTGCATTCAAAGTAGACTGTTTACTTAGATTTTAATCTAAACTTTCATCTGAAGATATGTCACTGTAGGTAGGTTCGAAATTTGTATCCTTAACACAATCATCAGAACTTCTTCATTACCCACATCGTTAGTAATCGATATATCCTGTTCATTAAAATAACTGATTTCTAATTCTGCACATGAACTACTGCTGGTACTTGGTCCCTGCTTTTCCTCGCTGTTAATTGGCTGGACCTAAAAAATAATTTTGCAATAAGGAACCAACTTACATATTACAAAAAAATCAAAGTGGAATTAAAAAATTATGAACAAAAAGAGCTTATTATTTTAAAAATTGTTAACTAACATACATTGTTAATATAAGCTTCAGTGGAAGTTGATGACATCAACGTTACATTTCTCACAATTTTTTGCACTCTGCGATAGAAATTTATTTTGGTAAGGTAACATTTTCACAATAATTATTGATTGGCAATGGTAATCAGAAACCTAATTAAATAAATCTACAACATGGAACCAACTATCGGATGTTACAAATACCTGCAACAAGGAAAAAAAATTTCTTGGTTCGAAATTGAAAACCTGTACCACCGAATTTATTATTCTGCAATATGGTTCTATCATCCACTAGATGGTGTTGAGGTGTCAGAACATTTTATGAACATTATTTACAGTCTGTTCGAACCAAGAACTTCATTTTCGAAAAAATGTTAGTTGGTTCCTTGTTGCATAACAGGGTCCATATGTGTATTCACCTTCACAATGAAACAAAAACCAAGTACATGAACATCAAAAGAACATCTGAGAATGAAAATAATATAGCAATAGGCAACTATACTATTGAACGTGTGATTGCCTTCACATATCTGGGCACAGAAATCAATCAGAAAAATTCCGTAAGTAGCGAAATTAATGCACGCATCTCTAGTGAAAATTACTTTTTATATTTGGAAAATCAGCTAGCATTATTGGCATTAAAGGAATTTTTTTAAATTAACTCTTTCTTGAATTACAATTTTATCTATACTGGATAAGTGATCACCAACAACGCTCAACTGCGAGGTAACGAGCTCGTGGGTTGTACTCAACAACATGAAAAAATTAACAAAGATCTACATATCGAATTACTTTGTAACAAAATCAAAAATGCACTGAAAATATTAAAGAAGCTTTAATACCATTACCTGAAATGAAAGAAGTAAAACTACCAAATTTGTCCGATGATCAACTTAAAATAATGAGCAGAGCCTCTAAGGGTGATTACAACGAAGTCCTTAGTAGAAAATATAATAATTACATGTCAAGGCCTGCTAACATTTTCAGGATTAAATTGGCTTAAAATGAAGTTGTTAATTTTTATATCAATATGGTTATTGAAAGAGGAAAATATTTCAGGTGGTCATCATGTCATGCTTTAATATATTTCTAAAGAAAGGACATAATCTCGATATGCAAAAAGAGTGTATATTTTTGCTTGTCACTTAATATGCATACCTATACATTTGAGTATGTACTGGTATGTCAATTTTCGATATGAGAGCCAATACGATCCAGTACTAGGAAAGTATGGGAAAACCAACTATACGTGTTTATACGCGATTAAAAGGTACCTTGAAAAAGAAAATTTAGATAAAAAGATTATCAGACCTGGTTACGTCAGACTTTCAATTAGAAAATGTTAAACATTCCTCAACGGATAATCGTTAGCAATTTTGGAAGCCTATAAAGATCACTTGTATAAAAAGAACTCAGAACTGGATACCTCAGACTTAAAAAGATTCTGATTGTATACATAATGTATAAGGCCAAAGGCATAGAGATAATGACGATGATGAGTAATTAAACATGACCGTTTTTTTGTAGTGGCACCCCTACAACTTTACATAATTTCCTTAATACCAGTTTGGAATTGGACCGTCTAGCGGTTTCCGAACATTTCTCCGACGAGATGAATGCTTGGTACAGGGAACAGCGCACCACAAATAATAATTCAGATAACAGTACCACTAAAAGCAGATCAACAGCAACGTTAGTTTAATTTTGTATTTAGACAAAGAGTACAAGGCTTAAAAAATTGATAATAATGTATATAATAATGTACATAGGTTTAGGCAATAAGAAAGACACAGAGGTATCTCCGTCTTGTTACACATTGTTAATACCCGATTTGCTATTTAAAGTTAATGAAAAATAATATAAATCAGCATATATCACTGATTTGTGAAAACAGCATCTATACTTTTGTATTCTTTTCTAATATCCTCATGTAATATCGCCTAAGATGTATTAGTTCTCAAACATCGTTTGCAAAACCAAATTATAGAAAACGTTCAATAGGCAACTTGAACGTGTGCTAAAGGCACACGTATAGCTGTCAATTGCGTTCACATGTATTCCCTTTCAGTAAATTGGATTTCCACGTATGCGCACTTTCTCCATCACTCTACTAGCACAAAAGGCTGTGTAATCTAGTTGCAAGTTAGCTACAGGCATACCAGCTACCGTTAATGTATACCCATACCATTTAGAAATATATTCTACGCAAATATTGTCAATTCAAAACTACTCTGTAGAAACTTACCATCTACTGGCATGCGCGTAAGTGTTAAGAGTGTTTACCCATTTCTTATCCACGCATTCATACTACCTTTCTTTCCCGCTCTACTAGCCCGAAAAGTTGTGCAATCTACTTGTAAATCAGCTATAATAGTTATCGTTAATATGTATACACATGTCATTTAGAAGACAATAGCTGGTATGTACAAGTTAGGGGCATGTGTTATTCCTGACATGTTTTGAATACTTAAATCGTAGATCTTAGATTTATTTACATCATAAAATAGTTGACAAGACGGAGACGCACATTGTTCTTTTGTAAATGTTTAGATAGCAGATTTATTACTGAAAAAATTTCAGTATAATTTTTAATTTACTGACCGTTCTACAAAGTCATTAATATGACAGTACTTAAATTTTTATTTGACATACGGGTGTTTTTCGTGGGGAAATCTTTAAAAACGAGATAACGAGTTTAACAGATGGAATAATTTAAGTACTGAGTATTTTATCCATGACATTTTTACTTATCTGAGAAAAAATGCTTCAAATTTAAAAACACGCCATCAATTTTTAATAATAATGCCTTTAATTGTTTTAAATTGATATAAATTGAATTAATGCTTTAATTTTTTTCAAAACTATAAAAATAAAAAAACACTATATCTGATAAATCTTGACTACACATACTGGGTGTTTTTTTATGTACATAACTTAAAAAGGATTAGTACATCTACATTGTTTTAATTGCCACGGAATTAGTTTTATTTAATACATAATTTTGCTAGTTTTTTATTTAAATGTCGGCGGTGCATGGAGCCAACGAGGCAAACAGTTCACTTTTTGCATCATTTGGGTACCACATAGGTAAAAATGCGTCAACTGTTGACTTCTATGTCATCGATAATCAACGTAGAGTAGCAATTTTACACAACCCACAGACAATATTTATTCAGCAGTGTTAAATCGCATAATATTGGAGATTAATTCGCGAAACCAAACTCACCAAACGTTTCTTTCAACAAATCAATTATGGCACGTGCTGTGTGCACATATTGCGCCATCTTGTTGATACCACATCTACCCCGCATCAAGGCTATTCAGTTCAGGAACAAAATAATGATCATGGCTTTATATCATCATTGATTGTAATACTAGCTGTATCGTTTTTGAAAAATTAAGGACCAAAGTTTCCTTCGATCTTTACAACCACCAACAGCAATCTAGTTTTTGACCTATTCATCGAATGTCCGCTCTGCTCAGTGGCTCATGAGGAATTCTGTTTTGGATTTTTTAAGCCCGCAAATCAAGATATTTCCGTAAAATCTTCTAAAGGGCATTTAAAATGCAACTTTGTGCATTACCATCATAAGATGCTCAACAGTGCTGAATACAAATCGGCTGTGGGTTGTAAAAATTTCTATTTTTAAAAATACCTCTAGAATTAGTGTTTTTAATTTAAAACTTCTATATCTAAAAAAACACCTTTTATGAGTCACAATTGATTCAGTATTAAACCTTTATATAATCATAAACAAATTTGCAGTTTTTTTCTCAAAACATAAAAACTTTGTAGGACATTACGTTTTAAATATGCATATAAGAAATTAAGACTGAATTAAAAAAAATACTGTGGACATTTTTATACTACTGTTAATAGTCTTGATCATAAGCTTTTAAATATCAATAGTTATATTTTGTATTTTACCAACACACACGAAAAAGAAAATAGTACAATTTATACTGATTAATAAGTATTTACAGCAATGTTATTTTTGAAGCGAAGCTTCTTAATGGACGTTTTAAATGGGAACCTAAATGGAAACGAGACGAACGTTTGTAATGAAGGTTGTTGCACTTCTATCTAGTGCTTAACACATGATTTCTTATGTATCCCAAATATACTATGCGCTTATCAATAGGTACCAATGAAACAAAAATTATCTAGGGATTTATAAGAAAAATGTTGAAATGAAATTTTAAACTGACATTCCAGTGGTTGTGGTGTTAGAATGGTCAGCATCCGGTATTATGACCCGGGCAGTTGGTGCAATCTGCGAAAATGCGTTGAGAATCTTTATCTCAGAATTACAGTCGAAAAGCAAGACAACAAGGGTAGAGAAAAATATAATAAAAGGAGGGCAACGATTTAGATATTTAATAGCTATTATAAATTTAGCTTATTTGACTTAAGTCCTTTAACTTCCTAAGAAAAATCCAGGTGATTCCGCCATCGTCTCTATTTCCAGCCAGATTTCTCAGCTTTATCCATGTCTTTCTAATACTCTGTGCTTATTAAATTACTATATTAAAGCCAGCCTTATTTCTTCATCAGAAGGCACATCCAGAGATATCATTTGCGGAACAGCCTCTGGATCTCCTGACTTTCATTCTTCCTCATTAAGCTCTCGGACAGCGAATTTCTATTCGTAGTTGTGTTATAGAATGACCAGTAAGCAGTCGTTATTAAGAATACTGATTGTTGGTCCAATCTGAGAAATAGCATAAAAAATCTTGGACGAAGTAAACTCTACTTTGGAAGTGCAATAGTCTGAAAGCCTTTTCCTATGAACACTCGTTCCATTTTTCTGTCGCCCATAAACAAGTTTTCACCTTTTTTCCAAATTATGTTTTAACTTCAAATGTTAGTTTATTTTTTACTGATAAAAGCTTAACGTCTACTCAGTGTTCTAATATTTTTTGTGTGTTGTGAGATAAAATCGAGAAAGTTGTTTTATCAATTAAAAAAAGATTTATAAATATAATTTATAATGTGTTTCTAGTATACAAATGAATCTAAAATAAAAATATTTTTGATGCCTTTTTGTGTTAAAATGTTACATAATATATTAAAATCTTTAAAGATGTTTAAAGTATACTTATAATAATATTTGCACATCTTAGGTAATGACATTTAATAAATAGTATACTGCGGTATTTAAGAAAACTGTTAAAAATACTTTTATTATTTACATTTGTCTACATGTTTAGGGTTTTTGTAAAATTTTATCCGTTATTACATGTTTCAAATGTAGAATAAACCTAAATATGAGACCATTTTTACTATTTACAAATATTTTGACTACCATTATATCTGTCTTGCTTTTGATTGTAGCTAATTTTAAACACCAACATTCTTATATTTGTGTCATGTTGCCGAGGTTGTTTAAATCTTTAATCAGATTTTATTTGCTTGGTGATAACGAAATGTACTACAGGAGATTTAGACCTGAGAGATTAAATTAACAAAATTATTTGTCGTGTTTCTTAAATATTGAAATTATCTCTTAATGTTTAAAGTTTTCCCTAAAATAATTTTGGTACTACACTTATTTTATCCTTTGACGTCATAAACATTTTCCTTTTGGTCACAAAAAAGCGGCCACCTTGTAAATGTTCGGAATAAAGAAATGTTTTATGAACATCTTCAAATTAAAAAAGATCATTACTACTTGATTTAAAAATACCTCCAGCATACCATTTATATTTTGTATTTTGCCAAGACACACGAACGAGAAAATGATACATTTTATACTGATTAATATACAGCAATCTTATTTTTGAAGCGAAGTTTCTTAATGGGCGATTTAGATGGGATTCTAAATGGAAAAAGAGAAACACGTTTGTAATGAAAGTTATTGTACTTCCATCTAGTGCACTTAATGCATACCCAACACAGTTTTTCTTATGCATCCGAATATACCAATGTTTTTGAAGATAATTATGCAGAGATTTATGAGTAAACTGTTCCTAATGGTACTGGTTAGTTTTTCTTGAGCTTTTAGATTTCCTTCTAGCTCTTCAATTTTGCCGTCCGAACCAATGTGCGTCTTATTGTTAAGTAGTTTTTGCCAATTTCTTACTATTTCTCTAATTTTGCCTTCATGCCCTATCAGAAAGATATCTAAATGACTTTTTAACTGAGTTCCTTCTCTTTTCAAAGCTTCTCTTTGTAAAGGGTTTTAAATAATATCTAATTAAAAACTGAAACCAGTGCTTGATCTCTATCAAAGTTTGGTACATATTAAGAAGAAACTAGAAGAATTTGGAAGAATGTTGTTTAGAAGAAATTAAATTAATACCTTATTCGGGGATTCCAGAAACTCCAAAAGATATTGAAGCAGGAGCAGGGGAGAGTGTCCCAGCGGAAGTTGTTTTTGGAATGCAAACTTCAATCGAAAATATTCCTATAACTTTGACGGAAATTTGTATAAACTTACTAATCGAAAAAATAATATTGTAGAGCTATTAGACACTGTGATTAAATCAGAAATAGACGCCGGGGATTTAACTAATCAAATAGAAGCTTTGAAAAGAGAAGGAACTAAGCTAAAAAGCCATTTAAATATCGTTCTGATAGAGCACGGCAAAATTAGAGAAATAGTAAGAAATTGGCAAAAACTTCCTGAGAAGGATCCAAGTGATTCAGTTAGATTTCTCAGTTTGCCCGTTCCTAATGCTCTGTGCTTCCTTGTCAATTAGTAACTTGGGGCTGAGTTTGCCATCTTTCTCGTTTGGGATTGCAACTTCAATCTTTATTTTCAGTAGTTTCATATTTTCACATCACCTGTTTTGCTAAAAATGCGACTAAGTCACATCTACTTCCGTTCTCTAATCGGTATTTTAAAACTCATTTGCCCTGTCTGACTCCACAAATCTTCGTATCCCCATCTGGTTTAAGCACTTCAGCAGAATTACATTATATGCACCCAGATTCCTCTTACTTTTTAAAGTTAACTATATTTCTTCATCAGAAGGCATCTCCAGATATATCATTTGCGGAACAGCCTCTGTATCTCCTGACTTCCATTCTTCCTCATTACACTCTATGTTTAAGAGTTGCTGAACGTGTTTCTCCCGCCTGTGGGAGAGATGTTTTTGAGTTGTTACAAGCACACATTCTTTCCTTTGTACTATCTTTATTAAATTTCCAGTTTTCAAGCTTTTTAGTCTTGAAGTTGCTTTAGTTTCTTGTTGAGGTCATTATTTTGGTTGTCCAAATTGAATTTCTCTTTTTGTCATTCAGCTATCTTGGTGCGCAATCCTCGAGAAGCTTGGAGGCTATTGCTTACTCTGGATCTATAATCTGTGGTATTTTTTTTCTCAGCCTCTAACTCGGCCTCAACTTTCTGAATCTGGTCCTTTAATCCATGAATAACGCTATTTAATTCGTGGACACACTTATCATAATTTGGTCTCTCATCCTCAAGTTTTTTTTTTGCAAATCTACAATAACCTGATTTACATCTTTCGTTAGTTTTTCCTGAGCTTTTAGACTTTCTTCTAGTTCTTCAATTTTGCCGTCCGAACCAATGTGAGTCTTATCGGTAAGTAGTTTTTGCCAATTTCTTACTATTTCTCTAATTTTGTCTTCGTCCTCTACCAGAACGATATCTAAATGGCTTTTTAACTGAGTTCCTTCTCTTTTCAAAGGTTCTCTTTGTAAACGGTTTTAAATAATATCTAATACAAAAACAGAAACCAGTGCTTGATCGCTATCAAAGTTTGGTACATATTAAGAAGAAACTAGAAGAATTTGGAAAGAATGTTTGTTTA